CATGCATTAATTAACTACAATATCTATTATTATTATTATTGAAAATTATATAAAATGTAAATGTGAAGTCTGCTAAAACGGCATGAGGAGGTAGAATGGATTTTTAGTGTTCTTGTTTTATTAAATAATTTCAGGCCAACTATCAGAGAATTAGGCGATCCAGCTCATTTCGGTTGAATAGACTAACATTTCAATTCTGACATGCATTTACATCTTCTCTGTACCTCTTTGGGACGAATCTCACTACATTCACATAAAACAGGTTTCGGTAGGATCATAAAATGCTCAACGAAAGATGAAGTGGCGTCACCTCAAAATAGCGAGACGTGCAAACTGAATGAATATTTGCAGAATTTCGTGTTAGGCTGAGATCAATCACCTCGTTGGCGAGAATAGACTACGACGCCATTGAACGCATCTGCCGAATGGGTCTGAGCAAAGTGAACCATCAGTTTGCTCTTCCAGGCAAGACTCAGGATGGGACAAGTTCAGACCTTGGTCCAACTTGGCATGGAAGTACTTCGTCTTCGTCGACTTCCGGACACACGTTGATCTCGCTTTCCACGATTCGGCTGCAATGAACGTAGAAACAGAAAGCAGTTGTTCAGAGTACCTAGTCACATCCTACCCTATCTTCTCGCTTCATACTATATTTCTATAATAGTGGAGGGAAAATGCTACAGAATATGGAGCAGCGAAAAGATTTTCTGTGCACCCGGTTCCAGGCAAAAGACGATTCAATGTTTACATTTCCGCGGACGAAACTCTTCCAATGAGCGAGAGGACAGCATCAGAGTCTGCAATCTAAACCTGATCTACCTTAAATCCTTTACAATGGAAAAAGAACTTGAAGTAGTCATATAAAAGATTCAGAGTATTTTTTTAGTCAAATTGTTTTTATTATAACAAAGCATCTTTGCAGTAATGATTAATTAATGACCCATATTTTGATGGACCAAGGGAGGCGTTTTTATTTTCGCCTTGTTCATCCCTTTTTGGCCCTCAGTTCAGTGTGGCTCTTTTCTGCAAGTGAAACGCGCAAAGAACGATGGTTTGTTTCGCGTAGCAACTTGCGTCCAGCCCACTTTTGCTTTTCCAATTTTGAGGTTTAATTATTAAATGCCAATTTTAAGCTATTCTTGCATCGTGGGAGGACCCCTCATAACATCGAAAGCAAGAGAGCGAGGTTTATAGTAAAAAAGGGAGACGAAGAGATAGATCAGATTGGTGCCTAGAACATTACCACAATTGACCACATCTGACCTTCTCTGGAGCATAATAACGCGGCTGCCAGAATGGACTTGCTACCTCAAGCCAAAATTGAATGCCTTGTCGAATTGGACGAGGATTTATTTGCTTAAAGCCTTCTTACTTAATCTGTTTTAAGGCATCATTGAAAAATAGTCTATGAGTAGTATAACGAAGAATGAGTAACTGCTTCTCATTAGGTCAGTTTTACTATAAAAATAATAAAGCATCATATAGGTAAAGATGAAATTTGTAAACTTAATTTTGTTAGGAATATTTAATTGACGCCAGCTTGGCTCGGTGATTTGTAGACTTCACCGTTTTAGGTAGGATTAGTGCAACATTATGGGAAAAATGAAAAAGTTGGTGGATAACCTGGGAATTGTGGCTTCATGCTAAACAGGAATAACAGTAGTGAAGAAATCACTTTTTTTGTATGCTGATTAAAGATCGTATAAATTAAGAAATACATGTAAATTACGGCATATGAATCTTCCTAAAGACAAAGTTATCTAACATTTCCATCATGGTAGGGAAAGTAGGCTTAGAGGATACTAATTCATGAGTCACTTGGGTACTTCAAAGTCTAGTTGTATAGAGTTTGGATGTATCCGTGCGTTTCACTGTGTTGTAATATCCAGCGATGCATGTTTACCATTTCGTTAACTTTTTTTTGTCATAGTAACATCGTAGAGTTTGAAAAAAAACTTCTTTACTATATTTCTGTCGATATTAGTACTGGTCTTCCTTGAGCGTTACCTCCTATCGGTCGCCCACTAGTACTCTGAAAGTGTAGCCAGCGAGAATGA